GCTGAGCCGGTGGGACTCAGAGGGTAGGTGACATTGCCGGGTGTGTGTGTGTGTGTGTGTGTGTGTGTGTGTGTGACCGGCTGCTTCTTGGGGAAGAGCAGACAGGGCCTCTCAGGGCCACGGCCACTCTGCTCTGAAAAAGAGATGATTGAAAATGTTATTCCACTCCTGGAAGAAGCACTCTGCATACCCCAGAACGTGGGCACAGCTGCATGGATGTGTCAGTTTACTTAACCAGCTTCCCGTCTTTGAACCAGTAACATTTTCTTGAATGGTCCTGGGTATGTGCTTTTGCATTCTGGTTCTCTTCCTCTTCATGTACTTCCTTCCTTCCTTCTTTTCCTCCCTCCCTTTCTCTTTCTGTCTTTTAATTGTTAATCCTTTCTTTTTGTTAATTCTCACCTGAAGATATATATATATATATATTTCCAATTGCTTTTTAGAGAGCATGAAAGGGAATGGGAGAGAGAGATACATGGATGTCAGGGAAACACATCGATTGGTTGCCTCCCGAATATGCCCCAACCGGGGACTGAACCTGCAACTAGATTACGTGCCCTTGACCAGGAATCAAACCTGAGACCTTGTGGTAGGAAAGCCATCGCTCTAACCAGTGAGCAATATATTTCTTTTTTTCTGCTGTGCACTTTTTTTGAAAAAATGTACCAAACTTTAAGAATCAGTTAAAACCCCCCTCCGCCCCCCACACCCATGGGCACTGCTGGGACCTCGGTGCCTGCGTTGGATCGGGGGTTGCCTGGGGACTGAGGTTGGTAGGGCTGCTGGCAGGGAGCATAGTGGCCGGAGGCCTGGGGGCCGGGCTCCGGGTGGAGTCCTGGGAATGACTCAGCGAGTTGCCTGTCGCACAGGAGGGTTAAAGATTGAAGCAGTCCTCAGCAAGCCACGGGGCTGGCATTCTCCTTCTTTCTTATTAACTAGCAGAATGGTGCCGGGGCTGTGAAGGGTTGAGTATGTAAGTCTCCTTGTTCACTATGACGCTTTGTAGTCTTGGGCTAACACTAACATCGGAAGCCCGAGGAGCAGAGATGCTAGACAATGCCCACCGTTTTCTCTGCTTTTTAAAATGTTACGTGTCTGTCTTTATCTGTTCTGGGGGAAGCCAGAATTCACTGTGGAGGCCAAATCATAAAATATTGCCTTCCATTTAGTGACAGCCTGGTACAGAAGTTTCATGCACACGATAAACCAGCAATTGTTTTATTTTTTTTAAAGAAAAGTAAGTGGTGGGTTGTGCTCCACGAAGAAGTCTATATGGGATCTTTGTCCAGCTCGCTGGCACACTGCTCCTAAGCCGCCTGGACATCCACCCATTTTCCATCCGGATTTTCTCCCTCTCCTGGTCCTTGGAGCTGGAGGGCCTGGCTGCCTGTCCTGTTCCCCGCAGCGCCTACCCTGGAAGTGAGTAGACGCATGTGTGTGCGTTTACTGTCTAATCCAGTGGTTCTCAACCTTTCTAACGCCGTGACCCTTTAATACAGTTCCTCATGCTGTGGTGACCCCCAACCATGACATTATTTTCCTTGTTACTTCATAACTGTAACTTTGCTCCTGTTGTGAACCGTAATGTAAATCTCTGTGTTTTCCCATGGTCTTAGGCGACCCTGCTAGCGGTTCTCAACCTGCGCTCTGCTTCCAGGCTGCTGCCTTTCGTTCCCCCATCTCTCCCTCCGGCCCCGCCCCCTCCACTCTGGATTTCCCCCGGGGCCCGTGGGCAAGGTGGAAGGCTGCCAAAGTTTACTTAGCGAGAGGTGCCCGTGGGACTTGAAGCAGAGACCCGTTTCCGTGCGAGTGAGAAGTGCATTCCGGAGTCAGGGGCGTGACCTGCCGGAAGGCCGGCTAGCGCAGGTGGAGGAGGCGCGGGAACAAAGGGGGTGATTATGGGAGCCGGGATGTGGGAAAGGGCAGGTGCGCCAGGCCTGCCAGCTCGCCAGCTCCGGAGAGCGGGAGCGCAGGGCGCTGGGAGGCTGACCCGGATCCCAAGGGGAGGCGGCGGTCAGTGCAATGGAGGCCCCGGAGGAGACCTGCATGCGGTCGGATGGGCCCGGGTTCAAGTCTGCCCCTGTCCGCCTGCGTCACCGAGGTGCCTACCTTTCCCGCGCTGGCTGCCCTCTCTGCCATCTTGGCATCGGAACCCGACTCTGGGATGTGAGCGTTAAGGGGCACTAAATGGGGGAATGAAAAGGGGCCTTTTCAGGGATAGACGATGAATGAGATGCTGTACTTCCTCATCTTCCTCCTGATTTAGGGCATCGCCCCCTTCCACTCTGAGCATCCTTTGCGTCGCTCCCCACTTCCGCACCTCTCAGGGCCATGTGGTCCATCCGTGAGAACGGCTCTGTTCTGCGTGGAGCTCCCCACGCTCCGTCCACTCCAGCTCGTCGGCCTGGTCCTCACGTGGACTGTTTCTCGTGGCCCCGCCGCGTCCGTGAGACGGGACGCTCCCTGCAGGCAGAGCCCCGAGTGAGGTCCCGAGTCGCCTGCACAGGGACTTCCCCGGTGGACAGGCGGCCCTGGCCTGCCCTGCAGAAGGGCCGCCCGAGGCCTTGTCCACGGGCTCAGGTCCATGTCACCTCTCGCGCCCTTCGTCCCGGGGAGGGGACTTGATTGATGTGTGGATCGTCGCTGACCTTTCCCTGGAGGATTTTATGGGTGAAGGCAACAGAAGGCACGTAATAAACTGAAACCCACACTTTCTAGGGTTTACCGTGTGCAGGAGGACACGGCTTCGGGGCTTTGCCAGCTCTTCCCAGGATCCTGATCGCTCCCGGGCGGTGAAGCAGAGTGGCGCTGAGCCGATCGGGCGGGAGGGAGAGCTGCCCGGATGGAGGCCCCGTTCTGGGAAAGGGCTTCGTGTCTGGAAGGTCCCCCCTCCCTGTGCAGGGCGGCACCCGTGTGTGCAGATACGGGTGTGGATTGAGAGGACTGAAGTTCACGTTTTCATCGCTGTGTAGTGAGCGTGGAAGCTGAAATTCTCACCCTGCCCTGTTTGTCTCTACAGTGCTGCTGGCCCCTGCCCTCCTTCTCCCCCCCCCCCCCCCCCTCTCTCTCTCTCTCTCTCTCTCTCGCTGTTCTTGTCAGGTCAGGTCTAGTTAAGGGGGAAGAAGGCTCCTGCGAGGTCCCCCCAGGGACCTGCTATGACTGACGGCAGCTGTGTTCCTGTGGCCTCGGTCCTGCTGGGTCCGAGGGACAGCTTGGGAGGCCAGACGTGTCTACCTTCTCCCTGGACCGCTGGTCTTCTCGCCTGCAGGTGGGGAGGGCAGTCCGGCCAGTTTGGGGAGACCCAGGTCCCCTCCCGCCCCGTCAGCCCTGAGCCTGGGGGAAACGATGCCATGGCTCCAGGCCACAGCCGGACACTCTCCCGACTCTGACCAGAGCCCCCGGAGGACGTGTGTCATGGGCGACTCGGGGGAATCAGTGCAGGGACAGGAGGAGGCGTGGGGCCACCGGCAGGCCGTTGGGTTGGACAGCATGTGGCCGTGGGTGGTACTGACACCTCAGGAGTCTCAGTTCATTGTCGTTTCAAGCAACAGAGCTACTGCCTTCGCCGTCTCTGGCTTCCAGAACCTTCTTATCCTGTCGCCCTGCCTCCTAGCCTTTCTCACTGCACTGTCCTTCTGAGGCAGGACAGCCTAGTGGTTAAGCAGCGGGCTCCGGAGACCGAGTGCCTGGGCTCCTGTCTCAGCTGTCTCTGACAGCCTGCGTGGTGGTGGGCATACAGCTTGCTGGGCTCCAGGGTCCTCACTCGAAAACCTGTTCAGATCAGGGCGTGACAGTCCCCCTGCTGACTCTCGCTCACCCTAAAATGAACAGCACGGCCGCACTGCTGCGAAGGGAAGGCCCAGGCAGAGGCCAGGAGACCTTGGCGCAGAGAGAGGGGCTGTGGCTCCCCCAAAAGCTGGGCCGGGACTTCCTGGCCCGGCTGTCTCTGCGCCTCGTACCCCGATCAGCAGGCTGCACCCACCCAGGGCACCTAAGTCTTCTGGTTTGCAGAGCACCCCCATATTTAGGGGCCGCTGGTGTTCAGAGATGCTCTCTTGAAGTCGGGGAGTAAGTAGAGGCCCCCCGTTTTTCGGGAATACCTGGTAGAAAGGGTCCAGAAAGAAATGACATGCTTTGGCCCAGCCGGCGTGGTGCGGCAGTTGAGGGTTGACCCATGAACCAGGAGTTCCCCGGAGGTGGGGGGTTGGTATGGGATGGTGGCCAGGGCTCTTTCAGGGCTAGTTGGGGGCACACCGTGGAGGGCGGGGATCGCCATCAGTGGGTGTGGTGACTGTTGGGGCTCCCTCCGGTCCTGCTCACCGTGGTTGCATTCGTTCTTCCCTTACCGCCGGGATAATTTGGCGCCCTGGCCTGGGGGACAGGAGCTGGGATGGTCCTGGGGACCTAGCAGGCCCCCAGCCACCGCTGGTGAATGAATGGGGAAGGGAACAGGCCCCGGCCAGCCATTCCCTGAAGAACCTCACGGCGCAGGGCGAGGCCTGGAGCCCCGCCAGGCTGTGGTGGCCGCCTTCAAACAGAAACAAACAAGGAGCCACTTCCCACCCGCTGACCCCAACCCCCTCCGCTCCTCCCTGCCAGGACCGCTCAGGCCTGCAGGCGAGGCCAGGGCGGTGTGCCAGGCCTGGCCGAGCTGCTCACTCCCGAAGCCAGCCCCCTGACCTTTCTGGAGCCTTCTCTCCTCATCCTTGTAGTGGACATGCCTCAGCACCCCCTATCTTCCCAGGGTAGTTCTGGGGAGCACTCTGCAGTAGAAAGTCCCTCTCTGAGAAGTCCTGTGCCCGTAGGAGGGAGGCGACACTCCTCTGAAGGGTTCCCTGGTCCCCGCCTCACCTCTGTTTGGGTACCAGGGCCACAGGCAGTATTTTTAGACCATCCCCTCTCCGTCTATCGGGGGTGGAATATAAAGAAAGGAGAAGAAGCACCCACAGCCCCGGGTTTGTGGTTGTAACAAGACTGCTTTTCCTTCTTCTCACCCCCAGGCCTGATCTTGGGACCACAAAGGAGTGAAGGAGATCCGCCCCCGCTACCCCCCGCCCCACGGCCGTAGGGGTCAGCTGCGTGGAGCGTCCCGCGAGGAGGTCCCACACCGAGTGGATTTACAGTGACGCCCGCCCCGCCGCCGCTGCAGGATAGCGCTGGCGGCAGGTCCCTGGGCTTCCCCACCGCTGGATGCACAAGGTCTGGGAAGCCTGGCTGCAGCGCCGGGCCTCAGGATTCCGCAGCCGGGCTGCCCGAGGCAGACAGACGGATGGACGGAGGACCCCAGCTTCCTGAACTCCTCTCGTCTTGGGTCTCTCCAGCTCCTGGTGGGGCCCCACAGAAACGTGAGTGTCCCCCCCCACCTCATGCCTCATGCGTGTCTGCCAGGTGCTCACCAGGGCCTCCGGTGACTCCGGTGGCGGGTGGAGCCAGGTCCCCGGAGGTGGCCGGCTCTCCCGGGGAGCTGGCCTTGCACGGGCGCCCTCGGGGTGTCTGGCTGGGGCTGAGGCTCGGGGGAGGCCAGTGGGAAGGACAAGGGGGTGCCCGGAACCACGGCTGTTTCCTTTGCTGACACGTGTCACCGTCCCGGTCACTCGGGGGTTTTCCCGTGTTTGTGTCTGTGTCTGTCCAGCAGGCCTCGCAGGCCAGGCCTCTCCCGCGTGGCTCTGCGTCTCTGAGACAGAGCCCGGTGCCTGGCGGACGGGGTCTCCGACGCAGGAAGGGCGATCTAAGATAAGGTGACCAGACTTCCCGCTTTTGGCGGGACCGTCCCGATTTTTAACACTTTTTCCCCGCGTCCCGCGGCGTTTTAAAAAACTCCTGATTTTTCAGAGCCCGGATAGCTCAGTCGGTAGAGCATCAGACTTTTAAAAAACTCCCGATTTTTGGAAAGAATCTTTCCAATTTTCCCAAAAATCGGGACTTTTTTTTTTTTTTTTTTTTTAACACGCTGCAGGACATGGGAAAAACTGTTAAACGTCAGGACGGTCCCGCCCAAAGCAGGACGATCTGGTCACCTTACCAGGGCGCCGAGGAGGACATTGGAGAGCCAGCAGGGAAGGTAGCACCAGGGGGCTGTTGGGGGCTCTGTGCTTCGAGCTGCCTGGGAGCGGGGTGCCCGCGGACCCGGTCTGGACCGCTCCCTCTCCGGGCAAGGCCCCGCTGGGCTCCCGGCCCCTCGCTGTCCGGCAGGAGCGAAGGAGGTCACGCTTCCCGGGCCCGGCGTCCAGGATCGCAGCGTGGAGGCCACCGTGCTGACAGCCGCCGTGCCTGGCATGCAGGGACCCCGGGCATGTGACGGCTCGCCGTGGCTGGCAGTGGGGAGTGGGGGGGGGGGGGGACAGCTTCTGGGGAGGAGAGGTGTCACTTGAGTCTTTCTGAGCAGAGCCAGGTGGGCTGTGCTGGACTCCGCGCCGGGCACCTCCGGTTGGCATGGGCAGCCGATGAAAGGTTACCTACTGTGGGAAGGCTGAGTGGCAGGCCGGCAGCAGGTGAGGGCGGGAACAGCTGGCCTCGGACTTGGCAGCGGAGGCCTGTGGCGGCTCTGCCGTTGACAGGCGGGAGGGCTGACCTGGCAGCCGCGAGGCTGGCAGCTCCCTCCTGGGGATGTTGCCTGGGCGCTGGGCTGCCCGAGGGGAGGGGCATCTCCCCCCACAGCCAGTGTCCCCGGCGCTTGGGTCACCTGGGGCCACCAGGCCTCGGCTGCCAGGGCCTGGGCTTTGGTCTGCATTGGGCTTCTGTTGCCGCTCATGCCCGGTGGCACCGGTCCGCGGGCCTTTCCCCAGCTCCTGATGGGCACAGCGGCCCTCTGACCGTCCCAGGCTGTCCAGGCGGCAGCCCCTGGGGGCGCCGGGACCGTCCACTCCTGGATGCGCAGTGCTTGTTCTCTTGTCTTCATCCCAAACCGGGAAGTCCTCTCTGTGAGGCCAGGAAACGCTGTCATCCTGCTCGCAGGCCGAACACACAGTAGGCGTCTTACGTATTGCGCCAGTGAACCGGGTCAGATGGTAACGCTAGCGCTTTCCGTTCAGCTTCCCGGGCAGGGACAGACGAAGGGAAACCCCTTTCCTTGGGAACGTCTGGATCCCTTGGTCAGCCCGGCCATCCCGCTAGAGCAGTGTTTCCCAAACTTCTGACACAGGTGTACCCCTTCTGTCATTTTCGTAACGCTGAGCACCCCTCGTACTCACGAGAACGGAGAATTAGGCGCAGCTAAGCATGGTGCAGTGCGTATCCCCACCAAACTCCGGTGCAACGCGTACCCCCACCAGACTCTTCCCGTGCCCCTGGGGGTGCGCATACCACACTTTGGGGAACACTGCACTGGGGGGGCCGTGGTGCCCCCAGTTCACTGCCCAGAACGTGGAGGCGTTGGGAGGCCATTGAACGCCCCCAAGGTTATTTACTCAAGAAGAGGAGGCAGAGCAGGCAGCCGGGAAGGGTGTGTGTGTGTGTGTGTGTGTGTGTGTGTATGTGTGTGTGTGTGTGTGTGTATACCAAGCCCTGCCAGCCTTGGGGTGCTCTTGGGATACTTAGGATGGGGCTCCGATTTGTCATCCCGGAGAGAGAGGCTTTTCCTAAGATCTCGGTGCCCCCCTGTGTGAAGAAGGCAGGCGCCGTGCTGGGCCCTGGGATGCGGTGAGGTTGGCATCCCAGTCCGGCGCCTGGGGGTTCCTGGACCCCAGGAGGCTGTGCCCTTGGGGGTGTGTGGTGGGCAGCCCAGCGTGATGGGGGCTGTGCCCACTCGCCGTGGCCGCCAGGGCCGGGTTGAGAGTGACCCCAGGAGGAGGCGCAGGGAGGCCTGGGGAGCTGGGAGGTCTGGCTGGGCCCCGAGTGCTGGGCAGACCTGGCCTGGGGTCGGGAGGGGCTCCCCTGGGAAAGCGAGTGGGGCACCCCGAGGCCCAGCACCGCCCCCTTTGCTTCTGCCTCGGCAGGCAGGGCTCTGGCTCCCCTCTCTGCTGTCTTCCCCACCTCCCGCTGTGGCTGCGCACCCCCACTTATCACATGGCCCGCAGCCCTGCCCTCTCTCCGTTTATCGGTCCTTCCTCAGAACACCCCCTGGTGGGGGTCCTGGTTATCTCCCCGGAGAGCAGAGGGGCTTGGGTGCCAGGGGACAGAAAGGTCACAGAAAGAAATGAAAGCCGAAACCGGTTTGGCTCAGTGGATAGTGTGTCGGCCTGCAGACCGAAGGGTCCCAGGTTCGATTCCGGTCAAGGGCATGTACCTTGGTTGTAGGCACATCCCCAGTGGAGGGTGTGCAGGAGGCAGCTGATCAATGTTTCTCTCTCATCGATGTTTCTAACTCTCTATCCCTCTCCCCTCCCCTCTGTAAAAAATCAATAAAAGAAAACTAAAAAGAAAAAGAAAAAAAAAAGAAAAGAAAGAAACGAGTCTCCCGCACCCCACTGTGCTGGCTGCTCTGAGCGCCTGCCCTCTGTCCGCGGGGCACCCTGCGGACGGTGACGGAGGAGTAACACCGTCTGCTGAGCTGGTCTCCGGGCCGGACGCAGGGCAGACCCCATCCCATGCCGCGGGGTGGGCACTGGGGTTATGCTCACGGCTACTGCCGAAGTCACGGGGGCACAGAGAGGCCACACAGGCAGGATGGGAAAGCCGTTCTTTCCGACTCCAGAGCCACTGGGCCACCCTCCCTGGAGCTGTGAGCTGCAGCGTCTACCGCCTTCTTTTTTTACTTTGTATTCAAACCATTAAAAAAAATCTTTTTTGTTGAGGGTATTACTTAGATCCCTTTTCCCCCCACTGACCTCTTCCAGCCCGCTCCCATCTTCTCCCCCCGCCCCAGGCCCTCACCACCCCATGCCTGTGCCCACGGATTATCATGCCCGCATACAGGTTCATTGGTGGACCTCTTCCCCCCCCCCCCCCCCCCCCCCCCGCCTCCCCTCTGAGGTTCAGCAGTCTGTGACTCTACTGCCTTCTTCGCCTCCAAAGAAGCCAAAAGGCAGGTCGCCTTCCTTGTCGGGGCATCCGTGCCCTCACTGGCAGGGCAGCATCTCCTAGGACTTCTGAGCCGGGACCCTCACCCGAGGGCAGAGATTGGGAGAGTGTGGCCATTAGGGCAAACCCTGACCCCCACGCAGGACCCCTGGCCGAGCCGCGTGGGGACGGTGACGGCTGACAGGTGGGAGCGCACGCCAGCTTCTCCGCACACTCCAGTGAGAAGCGGGCCATTTCCCGGGTCCCTCGGACCCCGTTTCTGCCCGTGTGAAATGGGACACACACACACACACACACACCCCCACACCTCCCCAGGCCGGAAGGCTAACCCGGCACATTCCAGGCGTTCATTAACACCGGCCATGCGGCTACGCCGTGGCTGCCATGGAGAGCCCCCTGCCCTCAGGCTCAGCCTGGACAGCAAGTCCCAGCTCTTCTCTCAGGGGGACCCCGGGGCCAGGTACCCACCCCAGTGGGAGCAAAACACGAGGAAGTTGGGAAGCTGTGCTGTGTCACAGCTGTGTGACCTTCCTCTAGTTCACACGTGTCAAACACAAGGCCCGCGGGCCAAATCCGTCCCGCCAGGCCTTGCAATGTGGCCCGCACCGCGCTGTCATCACTGCACTCTGCTGCGTTTCCATCACAATGACAGTTTATGACTGTTCAGTAAACCATTCGGCCCACGATTTAGGCTGGATTTTAGATTTTGGCCCCTTCTCTGATTGAGTTCGACACCCCTACTCTAGTTCCTCAGCCTCTCTGAGCGGCACTCTTTTTGCCTATGGAGTTGGGACCCAAATGCTGCTGAATCTCTAGTGCTCACCTCCCAGCTGCTATTGGCTCTCTAAATGTGGGTTCCTCCCCCAGGGGAGCCCGTGGCTGTTGTGGCTGCTGGTGATGGCTCCTGGTGGTGGCTGCTAGTGGCTCCTGCTGGTGGTTGCTGGTGGCTCCTGCTGGTGACTCCTGGTGGCTGTTGGTGGCTCCTGGTGGCTGCTGGTGGCTGTTGGTGCTGTTGGTGGCTCCTGCTGTGGCTGCTGGTGATGGCTCCTGGTGGTGGCTGCTAGTGGCTCCTGCTGGTGGTTGCTGGTGGCTCCTGGTGGCTGTTGGTGGCTCCTGGTGGCTGCTGGTGGCTTCTGGTGGCTCCTGGTGGCTGCTGGTGGCTCCTGGTGGCAGCTGGTGGCTGCTGGTGGCTCCTGGTGGCTGTTGGTGGCTCCTGGTGGCTGCTGGTGGCTGCTGGTGGCTCCTGCTGGTGGCTGCTGGTGGCAGCTGGTGGCTCCTGGTGGCTGTTGGTGGCTCCTGGTGGCTGCTGGTGGCTTCTGGTGGCTCCTGGTGGCTGCTGGTGGCTCCTGGTGGCTGCTGGTGGCTGCTGGTGGCTGCTGGCCTCCTC